TTTTTTTTCTTTTCTTTTATTAATACTTTTAGATTTCTATCCAACTGTTTTCAACAATAAGGGGCTAAATGCTTCTTGAGCACCATATCGGCACTGTGACACAAGCAATTATATTTTGGTATCATTGAGATACTGTTATAGTTTTTTATTAGTATTTTGAATTAGTTTATATTTGTAGTGCCTGAGCACTGATGGTGCAAAGACCCTCTTTGGAATTGCTGTTTATTATTATATTTTGCATGTAATTTTATTTGATTTTAGTTTTATTTATATAATAACCCCACAATGAAGACTGGAGATTTTGCTGGCGAAAATACAGCTTTGCCATCACATAAATTACATTTTAATATATATTAAAAAGAATTTAGGCTATTTAAATTATTTAGAAGTTATTGTTTACATTTTACTATGTACAATATTACTGTTCTACTGTATTTTTTTTTTGTATGAAATAAAGCTTTGGTGAGAATAAGAGACTTTTTTCAAAAACATTTTAGGCTAAAAAATCGTATCAACCCCGCTACTGTATATCATATTTTATTATATCATATTATAAACTAAATGTGATAAAAAAAATCCCTGTTTATCAGTTAATTAATATTTGTTTATAGTGATTCCAGGATATGCATCTCTGTGCTTCAACTTTTAAATATTCGTTTCATATCAGCTTATTCAGCTGTTGATAAAATCAGCATCACTTCTTCCAATCAATCAGCCCTTCCAACCAACCGGGCTGCATTTTATCATTAGCTAGAGGTTTCGCGTGTATTTGCGTGTGTGTGTGTGTGTGTGTGTGGCTCTGTCTCAAATACAAGCCGCCAGTGTTGCCAATTTAGCAATTTTGTTGCTAGATTTAGCAACTGTTCAGACTACCCTAGCAACTTTTTTTTTTTTTTTTCAAAAAGAACCTAGCAACAAATTTAGCTATTTTTAAAAAGTTTTTGGCAACTTTTGTAAAGTGACTCAAATGATAAAAAGGCACATATTTTCATCTAAATTACACAAAATGAGGAAACCATTGAACAGCTAGCCAGCCAAGCAGCACATCAACCTGGAGAGAGCTGGAGAAAGATGCCTAAAAGTACAAACATCAAATGTGCATGAAGTTGCTAGTTCCAGTTGGTCAATAATAAATGCCCATTTATGATACAGCATGTTATTAGCTTGTATATATAATTGTTGTTCAGTTAGGCACACTGTAAGACAAATACGTGAAAAAACT